GACACACAGGTGCTGACAGGAAGTGACCAGAGGCAAAGCACAACATTGAGGGCAGTTCTTGAGAGCTCTAATCAGTATAGAAACCATCTTATAAGTCGTCGTTATCAAACAAAAACCATCGTCATTACCATCATCATCATCAATAATATGGAGACCATCATCATTAAGTTAGTAGGTATTCATAAAGAGCTGGGTCTTTAGCTTTTTCTTAAAGGTACAGAGGGACCCATTTCTTTCCTCTTTTCCAAATTTCATCACTTTTACTTATTTTCTTGTCTCTGAAGCATTTCCTGTTTTCTTCAGCTGTCGTTGTTGCCAAAATACAACCTTTGAACAGAGAGAGACAGGGGTCAATAACTTCCACCTTTAACCCTGTGTTATCACTCAATGCTCATTTAGTCAGTCTTAGTTGAAGATGAGGGCAACTATTTAAAAATAGCAGCCAAGAAAACTTGGCAAGAAATCCTGATTTTGCAGGAAATAATCTATCAGAGATTTTTTATTCTATCTAAATTTCAGAAAATAAACTGTTTCATATTCAAAGAAAAATCTTCAAAATCTGCTGAACTGCGTCACTAATGAATTATTCTTTGAACTAAAACAAGCTTTTATCACTCAGCCTGACAACACACCTTCACCTCCTGTCAATATTATTGCACTTTCACCCCCGATCACAATCGTCATCTAAAACTATTGAACCCGCAGCGCCTCAATATGAAACCTAATCTTCCTGTCGACCTCCATTCAGCTCCCGTCTTTAAATCGAGTGTGTGTGTGTTTACTCCTCATGACTTCGTCTGGATTTCACACACAAACACGGTGAGGAAAAATCATGCCAAGCCAACGTTTGATTTGAGGTTACTAGGCAACAGAATAAGGTAGTGGCTTTCAGACTGACTCAATACAAAGTGTCTGAGTTGGGGGGAGTTTCTTTGTGTGTGTGTGAGAAGGAGAGAAAAAGCTATTAAATTAATTCAGCTGGAGCCGTACAGAGCGCTGGTGAGGCACGACACTTCTGAATGTGAATCACTGCCTTTTATGAATTTCTATTGGCTGGTTGTTCGACGGAGAGGGCTGCAAATGAATCAGCAGATCGGGCCGTGTGTTGTATGCATGACTAACACAGCATTACCTCCAATTATGTTGCTACATGAAACAGCTATCAGCGTCACATCGGGGGTCATTTCTTTTTTATTTTGCCACCACCCTCCTAATGGCTCCATCATCTCACACACACAATTATTATCATGCTGCTGCACGACTCTCTCAATCTTGGTGCCATAAAATATTTTTCCACAGTAACTTCTACCCTTAGATACCTCCTGAAAAGATAACCAACTGTGACAGCTAAGTGTGGTTTTAATCTAAAAGCTTCATTTTTAAAATTGGAGATTGTTGTTCATTTTTGCGCCTGATTTTTAAAAGATGTTTTTTGGGGCCTTTTTGCCTTTTATTAGAGAGGACAGCTGAAGAGAGACAGGGAATGTTTTGAAGAGAGAGTAGAGGACGACATGCAGCAAAGGGCAGCGGTCGGATTCAAACCCACGGCTGCTGCGATGAGGACTACAACCTCCGTACATTGTTCTCGCAACATAACCGCTAGGCTTAAGCCTTATTTTTGTGTGGAATTTTCACAGTTAAACACCAAATTTCATCGTTGTGATTATTCACCAGCTGGTCATTAAAGCTCCTGTGAGGAGTATTTTAGCAGGTCTCTATACTGGGGCGGCTGTGGCTCAGTCGGTTGTCTCTGAACCAGAAGGTTGGGGGTTCGATCCCCAGCTCCTGCAGCAACTCCTGCAAGACACTTAACCCCAAGTTTCTCCCGCTGCTTTGCTTTTTATGCATTTATTCAAAGGACTGGACAACACTGATAGAGTCGTAAATCAGAGAGAGAGAGAGAGAGAGAGAGAGAGAGAGAGAGAGAGAGGGGATGACATGTGGGAAAGGAGCCACTGATCGGATTTGAACCTGGGACTACAGCCTCTGTACATGGAATGCATGAACTAACCACTAGGCCACTGGCGCCCCAGGATGTGTATTTTGTGTAAATTATAAAATAATGAAAAACATACCAATGGAGTAGTGTTGCTCTGTTACCTGTGTCTGCTAAACCGACTGTCTTTGTCTAATTCAGTCGTGTTTGTGCCGGTCCTGTTTTATCATTCTGTTTATTTTACAGGCTGTATTTGCCAAAGCTCGTCTGCTAAGCCAACCTTCCCTGATTAAATAACGCTTAAATAAACCGATCTGCATTACCTGTCGTTAGCTTCACAATTCGATGTTTTCAGAGAGACGAGACGACTGCCTCTGCATTGATTCTCTTTGTGTGGAAAAGACATTTTTCTTCCAGGCAAAGAGATAAATTGCAGCTTTTGTTTACACTCTTTTCTATTTTTACTCCGGGGTGACATTTTGCTTTGTTTTGTTTTTGGAAAAACAGTGTCGCACTTCATGTGTAATTGCACTGTCGGGGTGTTTGTGGAATACATTAGTGTCTGTCAGAGAGCTGTCTGTTTCTTCTTCTCCTTCAGATTAAGAGTAGAGAAGTCGTTTCAGAAACCGTCGTGACTGACACGATTTGACATCCCATCATTACTCTGTTGCTGTTTACACATTGAACGATATTTGTATTAGACGCTGCTGAATTCATTACACATTGAATGGTCTTTTTGTTTCATGCAGACATGTCACCATCAAGACAGAATCAGCTCTGTGTTGAACCGACGGCAGGTCCTAAAACTCACTGAGTTTAACGTCATGTTAAGAAGCCGTGCTGAATCGAGCATTATTTAGCAAATTCTACAATTTTGATCTCATGTTTAACTGCCTTTCTCCCGCATTTATACTTCAGATTTAAGCAAAGAATAAACTACTCCAAACATTTATTGCCACACTTCGGCCGGCTTTGAGGCATTTAGGCTGACAGCCAAAACCGTTTCAACCAATTCTTTATTCATTTATTTATTTTTAAGATTAATTTTTATTTTTTTAAGATTAATTTTTATTTTTTTAAGATTTATTTTCGGGCTTTTTGTGCTTTTAATGGAGAGATAGGACAGTGGATAGAGTTGGAAATCAGGGAGAGAGAGAGCAGGGAATGACATGCGAGAATTTGAACCTGGGCCGCCTGCTTGGAGGAACATATGCCTCCATAAATGGGTCTAACCACTGCACCACCAGCGCCCCTTTTCAACCGATTTTTAACATAATAATCCTCTGAACGCACACACTAGACGAGTCGACCAGACCACACATCTGTCATTTGTAGTAACGATTTCCCAGTGGCAATTCCACAGTCAATGAGCTAACTATTTGAGCTGTTTGTCCTTTTACATTTTGATTACAGTATTTGTCTTTTTCCCATTTTTCTCTTATTTCTTGCTCACTATTTTGACTCTTCTTTCCCCTCAAGTTGGAACATCTGAGTGATTATTTAAACAAAGTTGCAGAGTGGAGTGTGGTTCCTCTTACGCTGTGACTTCAATACATCACTGTGTGTGTTTGTTCTGTTAACCACGTCTGACTTCCTTTATCTCAGCAACGTGTACGAGGGAGTGTTCAGCACATTAACCCTTTAGTCTTCTTTTATCACAGCTGTGGCTTCAGCTACGAGGAACTCTCTGAATTTCTATTTTTATTGTTCAGGTTGTTCACTTAAAAATAGAGGTGCCGTTACCGCCAACAAAGTGTGCTCACTTTGTTTTTTTAAAATGTTGTGGGTGCCAATGATGCAAAATGTGTAAAGTGAAGTAGTTTCACACCTCTTCTCTCTCAGCCACAGCCCAGATCAGCTCTAGTTTCCCACAATCAATGTTACTGGTTTAAACTGGATGTTGAGCAACACTTTAAGGCATGAATGTATCATAGCTTTTTCAAATTATCTATTTGTATCCTAGTTTAAAACTTTTAATTGTTTTTGTAGCTGATGGTTTGGTTTTAATGAGTCAGACAAACTTCTGTTTCTTTCCTCAATCCACTTTAAAATCCTTCTTGTGTTCTAAATATTCTCCTCAATAGAAATATGCAGATTAAAGGAAGAGTTTAAGACTTTTTGATCCAGTAGATGTCGCCCTTGAGCACCAGCATTAAACCAAAACAACCAAAACTGCTGTTTACCACACCTCCTCTGTTCTGAAGCCTCCGCTCTCCTCCAGCGACACACGGCCAACGCCCTCTCCACTCGCGTTCCCATGAAGGAGTTTTCATGGGAATAAGAATGCACCAGAATAAAGCATCAAGCAGTTGACAAAATTGACCTTTGGCTCGAGCTGCAATCACCTGTGTCTTGCATTGTTGTGTTAGCATGCTAATGCACTTTGGTTAACTCGTATCTTCATGTTGCAGATAAACTGACACAGAATGACCGTGCTCTAAAGACAGTTGCATGACATCCAAATAATCAGTGAGTATGTTCTTTTTCTTTTGTCTAGTCCAGACTTTCCCAAACTTAAAACTGCCGCGCCCCACTTTGAAATACAAAATTATTATTAAAAGTTTTGACTACAGCTCTCACTTTCAGTTAGGGTCAATTATAGGACATTACAACATCACTTTATGGCAAGATAGACAGGAAAGTTCAGTAAACGTTATGTCCATGAATAGTCATGACACGCCTTACTCAGCACTTAAAGGGTTGACTCATGGTGAATCATCATTATTGTCATATTTCTTTTATTTTTATACTTGGTTGAGGGCTTTTTGCGGCCCACCTGCAGTACCAACACGGCCCAAAGGTGGTCTCCAGACCGGTCTTAGAACCAAGAACGATTTCGAGTATTGACCATAAATAATACGTTTCCAGGACTGATTGTTTCACAGTGTAAAGTTGTGTCTTAAGTCTGCTCATTCAGGCTGACATCCATGATTCTTCACCAGGGGTTTTTAGTTTTTAGCCTTGATTGGTCGACATGTTGTCCGGTCCATAAAATAACCAGAATCTGACATTTAGATGATGACCTCACATGGACCGACTGTAAAGAAACGTCACCACAAACGGATACAAATCAATAGAAATTTATTTTCTTACTTATCAAAAATATCTGCCAAGCATTTGCATAGATGGACACAGAATAGCTTACATGATTGTTTTGTGTGATTGTAACGACGAGACGTGAGCATCACGGGGGGTTCAGAGGATTTCAGAGGGCCGTAACAAACCCTGACATTACCTGGGATACTTTATTTATTTTACCTCTGTGAACACAAAGTGAAATCTAAATAAACTCACGTCCTGGTTTCTGTTTGTGAGATGTTTAAGGAGTTTGTTTCATTCATTTTAAATTAATATAACTTCAATTCATCTTCATTCAAATAGATAGACCTCCGCATAAATTAGGATAACAATAAATATTCCAAATATATTACTTCTTGGTTGGTTAAATATTGGTGAATAGATCTTTTCAGGACCAATCATATCACAGAAAGGGGGAAATACTCTCAAAGGTCAATAATGATCTTTAACTTAAACGCTATAAAGCTGCTCTGTCACAAATAAAATGGAAATAAAAAGCAAGAAATGTCTTCAGAAACGAGTCCTCGGCTTTTCAGGAGAACGTCTTCACAGCACGTGTATCCACTCCGATGCGTTTTGTTCAGTCGAGAGCGGCGGAAGTCTGCGTCACATTTTACTCCGACAATAATCCAGAAATGAATCCTCCAGCTTCTCCTCCTGTAACTCCGTCTTGTGTGTTTTATGCAACTGCTCCAAAAAAATAATCCTTCTGTTTGCAAATTGAAAAAACGTTCCACCAGGAGGCGCCAAATCCAACCGCTCTTAGTCGCGCACGTCCACCATATTCAGTAAATCCGAGCAGGTCATCAGTTGGCGTACTGTCTGTAAAACGCCACCTTGACGCGCTCTATCTGGTGACATAGCTTGATGGCGGGGCCGAGCTTCAGGTCCATACACTCCTGAACAGTGGGCAGAGTCAGCAGCAGCAGCGCCTGACCGTCAATGTCCTGCACAGAAGACACAAAACGATGAAGAGAGAGGAGTTCTTCAAACTTATTCAGACTCCTTTAGTGTGTGTGTGTGTGTGTGTGTGTGTGTGTGTGTGTGTGTGTGTGTGTGTGTGTGTGTGTGTACCTGTTCCTGGAAGATGTTTGCCAGAGAAGCACAGTCGGTAGAGTTGATGAACTGAACGACCTCGTCTACGCTCCACTCCAGAGGATTTCTGTCCAAAACCAGCTGACCCTCCTCCTCTTCCACCTGACACACACACACACACACCCCATGAAAGATGCACTGTAAATGACATAATCACAAACAGCTGTGTCTGCCTCTCTATCACTTAATCCCTACACTGATTTAATCCACTGTTGGATTTATCTTTCTCAGTTGAAGCGTACCCTGCTGTTCATTTTCATGTGGAATGGATTTAATGTAACAACTGTTGTACAAACACACAAATAATTTAATATATGTTAAGAAATCTACCCAGGCTGTTTCAAGCATTCATCTCAATACCCATGAACAACCAATCAATCAGTCAATCAATTTTTATTTGTATAGCGTCAACTCATAACAAGTGTTATCTCGAGACACTTTACAAAAAGCAGGCAAAAGACCTTACTCATTGTTATGTTACAAAGACCCGGCCTATCCATCATGAGCACTTTAGCAAAGCAGCAAAAGTTACAGTGGTAAGAAAAAACTGTCTTATTAAAAGGCAGAAATCTTCGGCTGGATCCCCGGCTCATGATGAAACAGCCTTCACAGGACTAGACTGCACCGGGGTTGGAAAGGGATAGAGGGAGAGATGGGATAAGATGCAGGAAGAGGGATAGGGAGCAACAACTTTTTTTTTAACTGTGCAGCTACAAACATGCAAAGATCATTGTTCATTTCCGATTCCTCCAGTGTGTGTTGAGGGGATGCTAATGCTAACACTTTCAAATGACCAAAATGTTTTGTTTTTTTTCAAAATCCTTGAACTTTATGGTAACGCTATCAATAAAAAGTAACACCTGCTTCTCTCTGTATGTACCTGCACATCTTGTCCTGTAGCCGGCTGATATTTGTTGTCCTGGTTGTAGGCGGACAGCGAGCGCGTCGACCTCCTGCGGCCCTCTGGAGCCTCCTGGCTGCTCGTCGAGTTCCCGATGCTGAACGATCGGCGCAGCGTCGCGGCCCGGCGAGGTCGGCTGCTGGTCACCTCCACCGAGGAGGCGTCCGTGTGGTCCTCCCGAGGCTCCGAGCTGGTGCCTTCACTGCCCGACTGCAACGCCATCTCCTCGTCCTCCTCTCCTTCGTCGCTGTCCTGAAAGGAAGAAGAAGAAAAGCTGGGAGTGAGGGAGGTGAGGAGTTTGAGGATTCTTGTAAGAAATGGCGCCGACTTCCACACCAGGTTTTAGGCAGTGAATAAAAATAATGAATCTGCTGAACTTTTGGCGATTTGGAGAATACTGAATTTAACCTTCTCCCACATGTTTAACAGACAAACAGGCTGAACAGTGGTTAAACTGGACCACCTCTTTAGCACCATTAGAATCCCCCAGGAGGAGATATTTGAGCTGGGCTGAAACAAAGGAGGGATAAGTCTTCAGTTCCTTGTTATTGACGTCAGCTTGGACTCATGTTGTCCTCTGAGTTTTAAGTTTCCACTCAGAGCTAAGAGAGGAGGAGGAGTCAGAAACGTTTGTTCCTTCAAAAGCCAAATTGGTCAAATGTTTAAAAATTAGCTGAGCGACATTTTCTCTCCGTGTAGCTCATCATATCTGTGGATTTTAATCTAGTAAATTCAGTGTCTGGCTGTTTTGTGTGAGCTGGAAGACGAGACACAAAGTGGACACGGTGTAGATGCAGTGAAGTCCAACCTGCGGTGAGCCGGCAGGAGTGTAATCCACGGTGGACGAGCGTCTCTTCTTCTGCACAAAGATCGCTTTCCTCTTCTTCCTGCGGCGCGTCGGCTTGGCCAGCTCCCCCTCCGTCACCTCCTCTCCGCCCGCCGGCTTGGACAGCTTCCTCTTCTTGCCGTAGTAATACGCTGCAGACGCACATTAAGATGTTGAAAGACAATGCAAAAACTTCACCTAGTCATCAGAGAAAATTACACACTCTCCGCAGTCGCCCTCAAGAGCTTTGATTCATCTGCTCCTCATAGCTGTGGTGCAGGAAGCGATGCGTTTTAATGACACACACACACACACACTCACTGTATTTGGTTTTGGTCTGGACGGAGCAGTTCTCGGGGCACTTGTCGGTGACGAGGGCGGGGCTGAAGAGGTTCGGGCAGCACTGCAGCTTCACACACACCTTGCGGCAGAAGTCCGTGATCTGGTCTGCGAGGCGGACGAGCCGGATGGTGGAGCGATAGGTTTTCCCTTTATATCTGAGAGAAACGAGGAAGAGAGTTTGACATTGTCAGCCCACTTTTATTTATGAGATCGATGCATAATTAAAGGATGTGTAATCTATCACGGCACTTGACGCTGAACGATGATTGCCCGCGGAGTAACGATGTGAAAATGGGCCGTTTTCAAGAGAGCTGGAGGGGATTCAGATCGCGTTGGAGGGGAAGGTGAAGTGTTGCGCGGGATCAAAATCTGTAATCTTCCATTTAATGTTGAAGGTTGGGAGAGGTGAGCTGATCTGCGGGCAAACCTGCAGTGTGGTGTGTCTGCTGCACAGTCAGTCTTATAACTTTCTGCAAAACTCTGAGTAAGATTTGGTCCTAGAAAACATATTTATTTATTTATCATTTAAAAAATTATACTTGTTTAAGTATCCGTTCAGTCGAGGAAAATACACATTTTAACTCTTAAAAATGAGGCGCAGATGGTCTAGCGGTTAGGTCACTCCCCATGTACAGAGGCTATAGTCCTCCAAGCGTGCAGCCCGGGTTCAAGTCTGACCTGTGACTCCTTTTCCTCATTTTCATTCCCCACTCTCTCCCTCCACAATTTCCTACATTTTCCACTCAGTCCTGACTCTGCTCGCTGGGCGGTGAATGCAGCAGAAAGTGAAGAGTAACTCCTTTGTTAAGTTCTCCAAACATTCACGCATGACTGCGACGGCCGTGCAGGTGACTCACTACAAACCCCCTGACTGGCTCATTCTTCCTCGCTGCAGAAAAGAAAAAAAAAAAATAGGGCCGTTTTTGATTAGAAAACATGGAGCATGCAGCCTGGAGCTGTGGAATAATTTTGGGCTCTGCGTGCAGCTGGCAGTGGAAGAAAATGTGGACCTCAAATAAACCACTGCTGCTAGTGCAAAAAAAAAAAAAAATCACATCAAAAATTCAATGGAGGGGCTGCAGAAAGGACTCGCAGGGACAGAGAGGCTCTTATGTGTGACCGGGGTTTAAAGCATCTGGAAATCCAGATCCAAAACAATGTATCTAACTATGGGATACATAGGTCTTTATGGACGTTTTAAAAGTTAATAACAGGATGATTAAATTAATTTAAAGCAAAAATAAAGATCTCTTCCAGCTATTTTTGTTGATCAACCTCCTGCACTTCTTTGTGGTCTGGTTTCCTCACTTGGCTTTGAGGGTCTCCTCCTGACAGTCCCAGCTCGGATCCTCCAGCTCCTGCAGCTCCTTCAGGACTCGTCCGGGCTTGTAGGCGGCGTTAATCAGCATGCTCAGCAGCTGGAGGCAGAAAGAGAGCAAAGATGAGAAAAACAGGTAAATAAATAAAGTCTTAAGTTGAACTGAAAAAAAATGTCCAATAAGAAGCGGAGAAAAAAAAAAGCCCAAACCTGAAGGAATAAAACACCAAGGACAAACATTTTGTGGACACACTCGTACAGAAAGTGCACAAACATGTGCACACATAAACAGTCTCTGGAGAAATTAAGAGTCTGTTTTGCTGAGCGATGTGTGTGTGTGTGTGTGTGTGTGTGACTGACAGCTCCTCACATTAAAACAGAAGCTCTGCTGGGACACTGCAGGTGGTTAACAAGACATCGCTGTCTCCCCCTCCCTCGTTCACCTCCTCCATCCCTCAATCTGTGTCGCCCCTCCTCTCCCCCTTTGAACGTGAGGAACTCTTTGATTAAACCTGCTCTTCTCTCCCCCCCTCCCCTCCCCCTCCCCCTCCTTCTACAGCCCACCTCTTTGAGGACCAGCGTGCATTTTCCAGGTCCGACGGCCTGCGGCAGCTCTGCGATGCGTCCCTTGTTGAGGTAGGGTCCTGAGAAACAGCGGTGGTTCACATAGATCTTGGAGCAGCAGTATCTGCCATTAGCCGAGCCTGGGGGACGGAGAAAGACCAGAAACATGGATCGTCAACAACCAGAGAAACAAACACAGGACGTGTTCACATGGCGGACGGTTGTAATCACCACTTTGAAAAACAAGACAAATATTCAACAAATTCATATCTGCTGTAACTTTCTTGATCTTCACCCTTCATACAATCTACAGAAATTTGTATTCTTTGGGATGTAAATAATGAAGTAAAACTTAATTTCAGTTAAGACAGACTGTCTAAAGGGTCGAGGATATCAAGGATCTGAGTTCTGCACAATAAGGAGCGTGACTGATCTCACTTCCTGTGGCCGCGTTGCTCGAGCTGTTTGTCAGTTGTTCGGCTTAACGAATGATTCATGAGTCAGCATTTCCAATATGACGACCGCCATGAATGAGCTTCCAAACATCCATTCAGAAACCAATGTGTGATGTCACTCAGGCCTCATCCATGTTGATATGCAGTCAATGATGTTTTTAAATGTGATTCAATTCTCCTAAAAAGATCATTTCAAGTTAGAAGAGCTCTTAGAAAAACTAAAAAAAAATGATAGCAGTGGTTAATGCAAAAATAATAATAATGGGTTTAATGTTGCAATCGATTGCTGAGAGAAACTAAATTAAAATAGATTTCCAGGGTCTTTAACAATGCTCTCTTTGTCCTCTTTAGCGACCTTTATTTAAATGTTCTTATTGTTAAAATGCTTCATATCAGCAGTTTGTGACTCTTAACATTTCACAGCAGAGGTGAAATCAGAGTCAATGAGGGCTCGTCCTGTGCGCCCCCCCCCCCCCCCGAGATAAAATAAGGTCGAGTCCTCCATGCTGCTCTCCGCCCTCGCTGCAGCCCCAGAATATCGCCGGCACCTGCAGCCGCACGGCGCCGGCTGAATAGTAATTAGACGGGAGGTGATGAATATGCATGAGCGAGTGGGAGGTTTTTTAAAAACAGGAACTTTGGGATAAAAAAAAAAGGGCAAAGGGTCTCCTGGAAACATCGCTTAGCCCACTGCTCTCTTTGTGCTCGTATGCTACATGTTGTTTACATACAAATGCAACACAAACAGGAAGGGGGAAGTAATCTGCCAGGGTTGCTATGGCTGCTGAAAATAATCCAGAAAAATTTGCACATAACTTTGCATGGGCTTTAATAGTCATGATTTATAGCAGGACCTTTTTCTGTTTTATTTAGGCTTTTGAGTTAATCAGTAGATATTTATTCTCATCAAAATATTGGACTGGAGACCCACAAAAACATGAAGTACCAGGAGAAAGGTCAAAGTGATAACCATCTGGAAATGTCAATGTTATGTTTTTATTCCCCTAAAGACGCAGGAAACATTTAGACTATTTTGATATTTTTTTTACTTTAGTGATTGCCTCGCTGTTTTCTGGAAACAAGAACTACGTTTAAAAGCTTCTTCACAACATTTATAAAAAAACTGACTCAACCTTTTAATATAATTTAGACCTAAATTGCAATAAAGCTCTGAAATGAGAGCCTACCATCACCATGGTTACAAGAAAGAATCATTTGTTCTTTGTTTACATGTACTGTCCCACCTCCAGAGCAGCTGCAGTCAAGTCTGAGGGCAGTTTCAATCAATCAATCATTACGCTAAAGCGCCAATTCATAACAATTGTTATCTCGAGACACTTTAAAAAGAGCAGGAAACAGACCCAGCGTTAGTCCATCATGAGCGTAGCATTTAGCTAACATTTAAACTAGAGGTATGAAGATATGAAGGGGAATAGGTTTGTATAAAAAACCAAAGGTAAGGACAAACATAAAGAACAGGTGTATTTCGGTAAAAGGGGTTCATTTGTGGAATACTTCTGCCATTGAATTAAGAATGTGTAGTTCACTTTCCAGATTTAAATTTTTGTTTAAAAAAAATGGTGTTCAACAAATATAAAAGGTCGGTTTGATTATTTTGTGAGTGTGTTGTTTGTTTTGTTTTGAAAGATTTGTTCTGATATGTTTTGTTTTTGTAACCAAACTTGTCTTGTCTTAAATAATAAGATTTGTAATAAGGGTAGGTGTAATAAGCTAAAGCTTCAGCCTACACCTTTTCGGTCAAGATGTTTTTGTTTTTTCTTGTGACCAAAATAAAAAAATGATTACTGATGATGATGATTTAGCAAAAGTTACAGTGGCAAAAATGAACGTCCTTTTAAGAGGCAGAAAACTTCCAGGCTCATGATGAGCAGCCGGGCTCGACTTTCAGGTCTTTAGTTCATTAGTGAAAGATGAAGATTTCCTTCAATAACAAACTCTGTGTGTTTTTACAGCTTCTCTGAAACTGAAGTGAGAATCAGCAGCTGGAGTAAAAAGAAACAAGCCGCGTCTTGTTTTGGCGTCTGTTTGTCTTCTTTAATCATCTGTTGAATCAAACGGAGCGCCTCTGTCACCAGCATGACTTTAACCCCACTGAGATACCAGCATCACTCTCATCACCTGCATGTAGACGACACACTGACGCTGAAGCGATAGTTTCAAAACTGTCTCCTCTGTCCTATCTCTAAATAAAGGCAACAAAACACCCAAAAATAAACCTTCAAAAAAAAAAAAAGATGCCGAAGGAGAGCCGGCTTGTTTGTCAGAGCACTTTGTAAACTCCTGTTTGTGAAGGTGCTACACTTTAGGCGCTCAACATGGTTTAGTTTAAAATCTAGTATTGATTTGATGCAGATTGTAAGAAGAACTCAGCAGTTTAACCTTTCTCACTTGTGTTGATCATTTGTAAAATGCATCATGAAGAGTTTCCTTCTGTGCACCTTCATTTAAATGCTTTGAAAGATAAACAAAGGCAGAAAGGTTGCATACTCCGGTGGGAATCTAATCTTGCATGTAAGATAAAAAAATAAAACCCACAAATTACAGCCGGGTGGTGTTTCTGTTTCTGAGTGCGCGGGGGGGGGGGTTTCTCTGCGCTCTCGTCACTGCAGCTCATTAGCATGAACTACTGCGGATAAATAACGTGCAGCGCAGCTCTTGATTACCTGGATCCACGGCGATGGGCTGGCAGGGGCTGACAGGAATCATCTCCACCGGCTGCGCTGGAGCCAACCTGCAGAGGGGGAAAAAAAAAAACACTCAATGTAATCAATGAAATGATCCCGACTGATGTAATCAGACAGGAAACAACAGAGCAAGCAAACGATCGCTCATTTAAAACGATCAATCTTCACCACGGCGACTCCAGATTCTGTCAGATTTAGAGGCACGAGGGTTGGAAAAGCAGCAGGGGTGTTATTGATATAAAAAAAAGGGTCGCCCCCTGAAGGTGAGAGATGGAGTTAGCGGTTAAGACAGAGTGCAGCTGAACACCTCATATTTCTCCTGCTCTGTGACCGCCCCCTTTCCTGGGGGGGGGGGGGACTGCACTCGCACAGCCAACGGCGGTGCAACGTGTCATTCATCAACAAAATCGATCAGTGCCGCGAGAAAGCAATTTCTGCTCTAAAAAAGCGTCTGTTTCAATGAATGTGTTCAGAGTGACAGAGGAGGGGGGGGCAGCCTGGAGGGGTTTCTGGAGGAAGGTTCACTGAGCCTTCTTGACTCAAAGGTAGAAAGAAAACAATTTTTCTAAATGTGCTGAAGTGAAGCGGACTGCGGCTGTGGTTGGTTTACAGAGACTGATGGATACATGCGGGCGATACTTCAGTTTAAATCTCCACCTAACTGTGATTCAACACTCAGAACACAAACACACTCAGGAGCAGGTTGACTGAATGTTTAAAGGATGTGATTTTTTTGATCCAGCAGATGTCGCCCTTGAGCACCAGCATGAAACCAAAACAACTGGCGCTGCATTGTTGTGTTAGCATGCTAATGCTAGTGATCTTTATTATGCTGGTATCTTCACACTGCATGTAAATTTACCTGAAATGAGCGTGATCTAGAAACACAGTTAAGCAGTGAGTACAGTATGTTATTCTTCTTTTCTCTCGTCCCTCAATTAAACAACTTTTATACACGAGGGGAGGAGTCAGCCGGCCGTCCCGGCGATGTAAACAAAGTGAAGATAGGACTCTGAAAACTCTGAAAACATCACAGACAGTGGGACTCGGGTGTTACACCCATTGTAGACAGTCATGACTCACTTATTTTCAGAGGAGATACTTGATTTCTACATTTAAGAGTGAAAAATCACATAAAACCTTTAATGTTCATACACAGATAAATACATTTAAACAAACTTCAAATCAATCAAACTCTGACCGAATATTATTGAAATGAATCATAACTTCAAAAGGTTCAGAATCATCCAATTTAATCCATTGGTCTGATATTGAATGGTCAGCTGATTATTTTTTGTAGTTGTTTAAAAGTCTCTCCGAATGATCTTCTGGGTTGGTCTATAAAAAAAGGCGGCCCTGCAGCTCGAGTGTCAGCGATAGAAAAAAATCGACACACAGTCTTTTAAAAGTCTGATAGATGAATATGTCTCTTACTGTTTCTCTGGCTGCACCACCGCTATCTTCTTCTGCTTCTGGCCTGCAGAACAAAAAACAGAGTCTGTATTCAGCTGTCACTCCCAAGATAAATACTGTGTTTACTCTGTGTGTGTGTGTGTGTGTGTGTGTGTGTGTGTGTACATACAGACAGGTTTGAGAGGAGGGGTCAGAGGGTAAGTGTTTGCCTCGCACCAGCCGACAGGGAAGATGTCCATGGACTCGACGTCTACGATGCACTCTGACAGCGGCTTGGCCACACCTGGAGACAGGTAGACAGCGAAGAGAGAGAGAGAGAGAGAGTGGAGGAGGGGTGAGGGAGCAGACACACACACTAATACTCACACACACACAGACACACACTGTTTCTCCAGAGACACAGCAGGAGTCCTATGTTATCCTCCAACACTTAATCCATTCTGTGCCCAAAAAACACACACACACACACGCTCTTCACCACACACACTCTTCACCACACACACACACACTCTTCACCACACACACACACACGTACCTTCCAGTCGGAGCCACAGCAGGCGTCCTCTGACCTGTGTGATCTGAGCCACACACACCTCCGCAGGCCGGTGAGGGTTCACTGCCTCGAGCCACATGTCCTTGGCAAAGCCTCTGTTCTGCCAAGTCTACACACGCACACACACACACACACACACACACACACACACACACACACACACACACACACACACACGCATGAGGAGAAGCGTAGAGGAGAGAGAGGGAGGAAAAGTTAGAACAATGTTCTAGCCGAGATGACCTAAAGCAGGACTCAGTATGAGATATTCACACTGTTCAGACTCAAAGTGTAACAACAGGATTTGAAAGATTTAATTCTCACAATGTGGAAAAAAAAAGTTTTTAAATTTGATTCAGAGTGTTCAGTTTACATTTTAGTGTGTCCATTTAAACCACCTCAGTTTGTGTTTGTGCAGGGCCTTTAATTGGACCCTGGTGACACTTGAAACAGGAAGTGTGGACAGTGAACTTTCTCTCCTCTTACATCGGGGAAGCAGGCGTCAGTAGCCGCCTCCGTCCCGCTCTGCTTCAGGTAGTCGGCCCAGTCGAAGTCCTGACCCTCGGAGCCGCGCGGCCGCTCCAGACACACGCCGTTTTTCAGACACCACTGGACCGGCAGGATGCCCGGTGAGTCGGAGTGACACACCACAGAGCGAGGTTTAGCATCAGCCGAGAGGTCGTCCAGAGTGACCTGGAAGTAGATGTCGTTGTACACCTGAGGAGGGGAAAGCAAAACGTCATGATCCATCTTTAGATCAAAGAATACAAAGCATTCTTTACTTTATTAGTTTACGAGGAAAAGGATGATTCTAAAGTCATTTAGATGCTAAAGAGATGCATGATGGGAAATGTAGTATCCTCTGTTGCTTAAGATCTCAGCCTTTCTTTCTCTTATTGGTGCTCTGCATGTCTCCTCACTTCATGAATATCATTCAAACTATGTTTTAAAGTCTATAAATCTTGAAACTTATGACTTTTTGAACTGACTGAATATTTTTATGAAATGTTTGAATATTTACATTTAAAATTAAGTATTCAAACATTTCATAAAAATATTCAAGAAACTAAAGCATTCATTCTTAAATTGAAGGTTCTGGTTTTAATCTCTAAAATTCTAATAAAAGTTTTTTTGAAGACGCTTAGTCAATATGTTTTGCAGAAAAGAATATCTTGGGGAATTTGGCACACATATATATACTTTTCAAAACAGCAGCCGTTATAATAAATACATCCAGAGCTTCTCTTTTGAGCTTTCAGTTTAGGATTCACTTTCTAACTTTCAGGCTATGGACTAATAAATGAAATACTGAATGTTAATATTTGCACAAACTTTCAGATACTGGCAGCTTAATCTCAAAAACAGAGGATCTGAAGTTCACAATGTATTTTTAATGGAAGATTAAACACACCTTACATCCCATAGTTTTAGAAATACAAAACAATGTTTATTTTTTATTTGTCATCTCTGTAATAGAGGTATACAAAGCCCAAAATTAAAAGCTGAGTCAGCATTATGACTGGGACACAACCCGAGGGAGTTCTGCTTGGTCAAAAAAAACAAAAAAAAAAAGAAAAAGAAGCAAAACCACCTCAAAGGGCAGCTGAGGATTGCTCGGGGGGGGGGAGCTTGTTGTTCTCAGCCTGTTTGTGTGTGACTCACCTTGGTGACAGAAACGGGGCAGATCTGAAGCTGCTCCCACGGTGACACCATCTCCAGCTTCATCCCCGCCTTAAAGGAGTGTTTGGGCAGGTCCACGTGGTCCTGACACAGTAAAGTCAGCGCTGTTAGACGAATGTGCTCTACTTTTGATAGCACGCACACACACACGAGACACAATGTGGGTCAGGAAAGCCCTGCTGGGGGGAGGGGGGGAGTGGATGAAGAGTCATCTCTTGATGTGGTGATGAGAAGAGTGAAATAAGATTTCATTTTTTTATTTATGACGTTTTGTACTTTGATGTCTGCGTTCTTTGGTGTGAACTTTAGTCTGATCAGTGTTGTAATTACTTCCTGATTCATTCTTGGAAAAAAAAAAAGGAAACACTTCTAGAAATGCATCACTTCCACATGTTGGAGATTTGAGTCCATGTTTGAGGAAAGACATGGTGTGCCACACAGAGGGTGTGACATCAATTTCGGGCTTTGTGAATATAAAAGGAAATATTCTGACTCAGAATGAAGAGGAGCTGAGAGCTTGTCTGGTTTAAGTGATGCTCCGTCACTGTTGGCTATCATTGTGATGTTCTGGCTTCATGCCATTAAATGATGAATGAGTATAAATCCTCTTTATTCTTTGATGGTAATTAAGTTCCCGCTGGAGTCTTTTTGTCGTTTTGGACATGTGTTTGGTGACCTCAGATTTGTGTCATTTTATTCTTTTGTTCTTCATGCAGGTCTTCGATCAAACATGAAATGCTTCTATTCATAAAGTGAATATTTTTGCTTCGGTTTAAATGAGGTAGTCTTGTAATTTTCCTCATATTTAGAACATAATTCGATATATTTTCAAGATCACACACACACACTCTCCTGCAGAGCAAACCTGAAGAAGCCACTTTGTGAATCGCGTTGTTCGCTCCAATGTTTAAAAATGTAGTAATTCAATCTCTGCACCCATCGATCCTCACATTTAAAGAGGTCATATTCTGCCCTTTTTGGGGTTCATATATTTCATCTATGTACTAAAGTATGTTCACAATAGATAAAGTTCTGCCGCTCCATGCACCGGCTCTCTTCTGACTCTCTCTAAGGCTCTGAAGTGCCCACGTTCAGAGTCCCCACGTCTGCCAAGTCTGATCTGATTGGTCGGCCTGTCTGCTCTGCCGTAATTGGTCAGTTTGCTCAGCCACTCTGGCTCCGAAGGGAGCAAAAACATTAGCAACCTTAGCACTACTGTGCTACAGCAGGCTACGGCATATCGTGGCCGTGCTACAGAAGTTACGGGCGTGCAACATGAGCTGCTGGGCCACAACGAGCCAATGGGCTTAGATCAGTGACCTCACACTGACAAGATTCACACTGACAAATTTTTATGAAATTCATTTACATGAATTTTTGCACATAGATGTGCCTAAACATGCACAGGACACTTGGAAAACACACTAAAGGGCAGATAAAACCAGAAAAAGAAGAATATGGGACCTTTAAGATTTATCTCTAACAGAAACTTGTGAGCCGATGATTTAAAGTCACAAACCTGTGAAATATTAGCAGGAGGATTTAGTATCACACCATCATAACACACCACAGAGGTCAAAACAGACAACTAAACAGCTCCCTGCACCCGGGTCGTCCTGCAGTCTGGCACTGTGCCAACACCACACCACACCACACCAACAAACACACACAAACACAAACACACACACACAAACACACACACACTGTTAAGAGCAGAGTTGTGTGTGAATGTCCGGCTCACCTTGAACACCTCTAGCGGCAGAGGCTCCTTCTGTCCGTCCAGCTGAGCGTCCTCTAGAGCTCGCTGCCAGTCGGGGGCGCTCTTCAGAGCCCGGAGGCCTGCAGAGAGGAGACATGATGTTTTTATAATAATAATAATAATGTTAAAAAAACAGAGAACAGCGCAGTAAGGACAGACTAACAGACATTGCAACATTACACACAAATCATAAAGATAACAACAATAAAGTTAAAACTACAGAAAACAGGAAATACATCCCAATCACACATTAAAGGTTTGTTTAGAGAGGTGAGTTTTGATAGTAGGAGGGTCGGTGCAGTGTTGAATGTGTGTAGGGAGTGACCATGCTGGATAAACACACATAAAGGGAAGTGTTACTGAAATGTAGCAGCTTCTGTTAACCAGCATTAGTTTCATTTTCATTTATTTGAAAAACAACAATAATAAAAAATAAAAAAAACTGATCGGCTGCAGAGTCAAGCTCCTCCCCCTTTCTCTCTCAATCTGCAGCCAGAAGCAGAAGCATGGCCTCAGCCACCATTTCTCCCTCACTCTGAGTTTAATCTTGTTAGGAATAAAGATTTGTTTTTGTTGCTGATCTTATGTGTTTGACTCCTTCATGTTGTTTCCCCTGAGCCAGGGTTGTAACATCTCAAATGTTTGATATCTGACTGCTGGTTGGCCTGAACAAGCACGCTGTAGAACCTCCTTTGACTTACTATCTTCAGACATTTTTAAGATATAGATCAACTTTTGGGATATGGATCAAGAGGGTTATAAAAAAGAATAATTAATAAAGAAAGTGAAATATCACAGGTTCATATTTCCACTTCATAAAAGGAGACGGTTAAGGGAGTCTTGTTGGCTCTTAAATAAAACGATAACAGCAGAATGTGTAAGAAGCCAAGCTCTTAAATAAATGTTTTAATAAAAACCTCACTCATTAAATATCATTCAGTTTGTCATTAAGTTTCTGGGATATAAAGCTCGCCTCCAGGCTGAAGCTGAATGAAAAGGTGTGAGCAGATTGAAATGGTCACCTGTGGGCGGTTCTAAGGAGAGGTGGTTCTCCTGAGCCCAGCCCAGTGGGCGGAGCCTCACATCCAGGTAGAAGAGCCAGGCGTCCTGAGCCCGCTGCTCCTCGGAGAGACCGGCGTAGCGCAGGCGGAGCCGCCCGCCGACGTTCTGGAGGACTCTGACGGGCCAGAAGAGGAACGGGTCTGAGACGTCCCGAAGCTCCAGAACTGAACCGTCCACTATCAGATCCACCGTGTTCTTACCCCGAAGAGGCTGACAGAGAGACGTTTGATTTATTTAAACACAGATCATTTTTTTGGTTTTTAGTGGGAACACTCCTGAACCTCGATGGCCTCGGGCTCAGGGGGAAGTAAACACACTCACCCCTTCCAGCAGGTTGGCGGGGGCCGTCCTGGAGCCGGTCAGGTCCTCAACCAGGAAGTCCGTCCAGTCGCTGTGTTTCTCTTTGATGGCTGCAAAGACACAAAAAGAGAGAACGAAGACATTCAAAATCAACGTGATGAAAGTGAGCACACACTTGATGAATATATTAAAGTGAAGAGAAAGCATGCATGAGTCAGAGCATGCATACACGAGCAAACACAAAAACACATTTTTTTATCAGTTTTTATGAAGCGGATACGAAACCTGTTTTCAAAAAATCCACATTTTGAAGTATTTTAACAATGAATGTGATAGAAACTTTAATTATTCAGTGTTTTTTTTTTTCTCTTAAAACACCTCTGCAGCTTCCCCGGCTTCATTCACACTGCAGATATTAATCCTTCACTCGGATTAAAATCTCAAATCAGATTTTTCTTTAAAGCTTGTGCGAGCAAAAGACAAGAAAGAAAGAAAGTCATCACATCCGGCCATTTTTTTTTTTTTTTTTTTTTTTTTTTACAGAAGTAAACACATCAAACTGAACGACTGATTAATGTTGCAATGAGCGCTTCCATTTAAATGTAAATGTGCAAGAAAAGAGAGAGAGAGAGAGAGAGCTGTGGTTGTGCTGTGTGTGTGTGTGCAGAGATGTGTGAGATCAGAGGTGGGAACAGGAACCGTTTCATTCAGATTTTCAGACATCAAAAAAAGGTTACCGGGGTTACTTTTAACTTCCTCTGCAGAGCAGTAAAACTCTTGAGTGTGAATTCAAAAAACGACGGTTGAGGCCGAGGTCACGCTGCTACAAATGAGGTTTTAATGTGGAGGGCTTTAGAGAGCAGAGAGGAGCGACGATCAGAACAACAATGTCTCGTTCAGAGAGACATTAAGAAAGAAAACAGACTCTTCTCTTTGTCTGGAAGATTTGAATGTAATTCTACAAACTGCTGACTGTTGTCTAAACTCTGTTTGTGTTTTACTCTTTGTATGGATGTTCTTGTGAAAAAGAATTTCCCCGCGGGGACAATAAAGTCTGAAGTCTAGAGTCTAGCAGTTTGTTTTGGTTTCATGCTGGTGCTTAGGGGCGACATCTACTGGATCAAAAGGTTGCACGTTCTTCCTTTAAGCTCAAACTCTATGGGTACAGAAAATAACGCTAGTATGGTGATGAGACGGAAACAATAACATCAGAGAGACGATACAACAATCGCCGAAGGTTTTGGAGAAAAGATAAACTGCACATGGAGAACAGATTTTTGAATATTACACTGAGAAAGTCTGACAGTGTCCAAGATTCCTGAGTAGAATAAATGCATGCAAAGGCTCTGTGGTGCATGTGCAATATATATATATATATATATATATATATATAGCACAAGGTAACTCATTAAAGTCTTTATCTGTGATTTTTCACTCTTAAATGTAGAAATCAATCTCTCCTCTGAAAATAACTCTGTGAGTCATGACTGTCTACAATGGGTGTAACACCCGAGTCCCACTGTCTGTGATGTTTTCAGAGTTTTCAGAGTTTTCAGAGTCCTATCTTCACTTTGTTTACATCGCCGGGATGGCCGGCTGACTCCTCCCCTCGTGTATAAAAGTTGTTTAATTGAGGGACTAGAGAAAAGAAGAATAACATACTGTACTCACTGCTTCACTGTGTTTCTAGATCACGCTCATTTCAGGTAAATTTACATGCAGTGTGAAGATACCAGCATAATAAAGATCGCTAGCATTAGCATGCTAACACAACAATGCAGCGCGAGTTGTTTTGGTTTCATGCTGGTGCTCAAGGGCGACATCTGCTGGATTGAAACATCACAGATAAAGCTTTAAACAACCAAGCACACTGATGCCCAACGCAAATACTTAGCGCTGCTGCACCTGCAGAGCACCTCCATTACAAAAACACACATGAAGAGCTATGCCTTCATACTAGTATTCACTGCACTATTATCTTATTCAGCCTTGTATATCTTGGTCTTTTTGGTCATATAATGTTCATATTTAATATTATTCTTATTGTACATTGTGAGCTCAGTTACTGAAGACAGATTCCTCGTGTGTGTGTTTAAGCCAATAAAGCTGATTCTCATTCTGATTAGTCTTCCATCATATTTGCATGGTGACTTGTGGTTTGTGTCTACTTCCTGTTTCCCACAGTGCATCAGTGTCACATAAATTCCCGCGCTTGCGCCTCTCAAACTCCTTTATTTGCTTTTGCCTCCATCTGATATCAAGCCCTCTCGCTTATCCCTCGCTCCCCCGCCTCCAAGCTCACATTCCAAAACACAAGATACCGTGTGGCCTTCACTGTCCTGCGTGTTTTTCCTGTTTGTCACAGACATGGGGGGGGGGGGAAGGCACCGTAAAAGTCAGAGACACTTGTTGGGAGTCTCTGATCTGTTGCCAGATGAGTCACAGTCACAGAATGACTCCAACGTGTGTGTGTGACCCGACGTCCCCTGCAGCGGTGATTAACATCAAGCTGAAGTGAAAGTGAAATGTAGAACATGCAGTGGAACACGCAGCAGCAGCTGATAATGAGAGCGGCTTCTAGTCAAAGAACGTTTGTGTAGAAAAACTTCTATATAACACTTTTCTAATTTTCTGATTACTCATGACGATTTTTCACACTACAGGTCACACCTACACATTCACACACTGCAGCTGCAACGATATGGAAACGTAAAGTGTCAATCAGTATTAGGACACATCATCATGCGGCTGCAGGAGCTGGGGAATCGAACCCTCGACCATCTGATTGAGAGACAACCGAAAAACAGCATGCAAAAAAAACAGAGCCTGGGACTATTTAAGGTGGCAATGCTGTTTCGGTTGCCGTGGCAACTAACCACAAACTTCCATCAGATATCAGAAAGCATCAGATAACACGATGTGGTATAAAAAAAACTCTAAAAACCCCCATAAACACGTCAACAAACACACATTCAGGCGTTGTTGTATTCAAAGTCAGAGGTGTAAATGGGACGAGGGGTTTCTGCACCGAGTGCTCCTTCTTTCATTAGAGCACATGTACGTTGTGTTTATTTCATAAAAAGCAGAAGACGATGAGGCTGTAAAATAAACATCATTCTTCACCCTTCAATCACACACGTCAACTACAATCACCGTCTTCCCTTTAATAATATAAAGTCACTACTTACTAAAACATTTCAGCAGAAACACTGTTGCAGAAATAAAACGTCTTATTATCACAATCCTATTTTTTTTTTTTTTTAAATCAGAGATCAGAGTAAACACAGCCGACAGCTCGCTCAGGACTTTTTAAATACATAATTGACTTATGAGAGAACAAATCAATAAATCATTTTTCGCGGCTCTGCTTCTCCGACTTGAATCAAATCATCGACGCTGGAATTTTGGCCGGCGAATAAATCTAATTGTTTTTCCTGGAAGGTAACGTGGCCTCGACGCTCTCCCCCCTTTTTACGCCTGTTTAATAATAGTGTTTGTCCTGTGAGACTCACTGCTGCTGGACTTTGAAAGCGCACGCACACACACACACGCACACGCACACACACACACAGTCTACACACTCCTGTGTTGATCTCAGCTGTGCAGAAATAGATAAACTATTTTTACAGATCCTGCAGATCAGTCAGGAGGCCTTTTAGAGCGCAGCGGGAGCAAAAACATGCAAACTCTCTCTCTCTCTCTCTCTCTCTCTCTCTCTCTCTCTCTCTCTCTCTCTCTCTCTCTCTCTCTCTCTCTCTCTCTCTCTCTCTCTCTCTCTCTCTCTCTCTCTCTCTCTCTCTCTCTCTCTCTCTCTCTCTCTCTCTCTCTCTCTCTCTCTCTCTCTCTCTCTCTGTCTCTCCCATCTTGCAGTTCCATTATACTGTATCCTCTCTTTTTTCCCCCATATAAATAATCATCCATTTCTCTTCACATCCAACCCCAAAGGCAGCCGACGTGTAGAGGTGAACGCCTGAATTCCACATAACAATAAGTGCATAATTAACCTTGAGGGAGGAGATCTTCAAAAAACACGCCCCTCCTCCCCCGCTATTGCACTCCCCCCCCTCCTCCTCCTGCAGACACAGGCTGCACAAAAAACCTTGGCTGAAGTCTGCAAGCACATATCTAGCAGGAGAAAAAAAATGAATTTAACATGCATGAAAGTGTCATTTGCATATTCTGCAGGCTGCTTTTTTTTTTCTCCTCCAAACAATCACCGACTCTGTGCACAAACCTGATTTAAAAAAAAGCTCTACTTTGGATAATCAATGTTACAATTAAAGAAGAAGAATGGTCCGAGTGTTTTAAGCCAGCAAGATTCTAATCGAACTTAATGGGGGCAAATTAGGGCCCCGATTCTTCCCCCCCTAGTCAATTCAAACAATTACTCACCATGCATTTTTTTTTTTTTTTCAAATCGAGCACAAAGACAGCAGCGTGTAAAATGTCACATGCCATCATTTGTGTGTTTATTGAGAGATGTTTGGCTTAGTTACGCCCCGGACGCCATATTGTTAACATTTTAACAGCCCCCGTTAATGACAGGACGGGGATATTAGAGCCATTTGTGTAAATATGAATTAGCTCTGTGATGGGCTTTGTGGTTTAGTGAGGAAAGAGGCCCATGGGAACACGTGTGTGTGAAACCTGACTTCTCTACACATTTAAAAACACACACTCTCCCAGGGGGAATATCACAGAAATGAATGAATGAGGAGAGGTTATCAATCAAACAGAAAGGGAAACATGTGTAATAATTCATTAAATAGTTTCAACATGATGTAAACTCTGAGGGTGAAATAGAGAACTCGTTTAGTTTCAGACTTTTTTGTGTCAAAATGCAGAAGAAGACGACAAGAGGAAGTGTTTCAATAAGTGAGAAAAACGCAACGCTGCTGCAACTGATTGGCTTTTGATGGTTTAGTTGCAAAGCAAACAAATAAAAGACTTCTAACACAGGAGGCCAGGTACACGAGCTCAGCGCAGAGTCCACACACACTCATAAATCTTTACTCCTGACACATTCACCTTCCGCTAACTGAAGCTAAAAGATAATTTATTCATTCACATCTCAGCCGACACAACTTAGCACCACAGCTAACCGCACTGAAGCCTTAAATGTGTGGCTGCACTACTACTCTCTTAACACACACACACACACACACACACACACACACTGTGGAGGACAGGTCTATCGGGGGAGCATCATCTCCAGCAGGCTCTGGCAGGAAGCGGTGTGGTGAATTCATTATGCAAATCGTCTCTGTCAGGGATCTGTTAGCGTACCACATGACCAAACTTGTGATGTTGCTTTTAAAAATGTTCTTTGGGTAAATGGCTGAATGCATCTCCCACACACACACAAACACACACACACACACACACACACACACACACACACACAGGAGAGAGACTGTGGGAATTCAAAGTCCCCCATAGTCTGACCCTGAGGCTCGCTGTACATATACTGTCTAAATACCATAAATATGTAGAGCAGCTTGTATGATGTTGTCACAGTGTCTGCATCTGTTCTTACTGTGTGGATTTAACCTTCAGGCTCGCCTCTCGCTGTCACACAGAATAAGATTGATTAGACTTTCCTGTTTCTCCACTTTTTTTTTGATTATATTCAATAAAATTTGTTTTAAAAAAATACTCCTTTTGGATTTGTTATTAAGCATTTAAGACATTTTCAGGAGATTTCACATCTGCAGGGGAGGGGAAGTTATCATCGGGGGAGTCGGGGGGGGGGACTTTCCTATACTTTCCATCCACAGAGCACTTTGGTGCAACTGTGGGATTTGTAGTTTTTAATTAACATCAAAGATAACCGAATTAAAGAGATACTTCACCCGTTGAAACATGAATCTGTGCTGACATTGGGTCATATATGTAGAAATGTGAAATACATTTTGAAGTTGGTGCCTTCTTGGCTGAGAAAAAGGCAGAAAGTGTCTTTTTGGTTCATGTGGATGAAAGACAACAAATCCCAGAATGAAATTCGATCGTTACAGTTTCTCCAAGATATACAGTATAGCAGTAGAAATATAGGAATAAAAACATTTACAGACATGTTTACTTCAACACATAAGGCCGTTTCCTCAACTGATTCAGAGATTTGTTGGAAGCTCCTTTTCAGACTCAGACATACAAAGATTTTCCATCTCAGAGGGGAAAATGAGGGCGGGATGCACGACCATTCAAAAATACTACCAGGTTTCTAATGATACAAAGATTAATGCTAATGGGTGAAGTATCCCTTTAACCTGTCTCTGAAGTTACTGTCTTAATTTATAAATCAGCAAATTTGGCAAATAGAGAAGCGATTAAATGAGGTGATTTGATGAGCTCCGTCAATTAGCAGAGTCTGAGAGTGAAAAGAGTTAAGAGACTGTTTTTATGAGCCGTGTTTGTCCAATTGAAACACTTCCTTAAATCAATCTGTTTTCAGGTCTCAATGCATTACACAAGTACCATCACTCAAGTGTAAAAACACACCAAAATATACACACAGATCGACAGGTGATGGCAAGTCCAACCACTGAACACATTACTGTCCGTCATGCTGGTATTGTTGTATATGTGGTTACTAGGTAGAGGGGGAAAATCAAGATTCTCATCTTCTGAGACTTTAGATAGATTCATAACTTCCAAAATCACTCCCTGCTAAGTGCTAAGGCTAGCTCTTTAACTCAGAAGAATGACAAATGGAGCAGAAAGAAGTAGAGCCAGCATCACAGATGACTGGACGAGATTTGAATCCAGAATCTCAAAGAATCTGAATCTTTGATTGGACGATGAAATATCGCACGTTCAGCCGCTGCATGCTGCATATGAAGTCAGCTGTTAAAATGTGTCTCTCTGACCAGTTTGGGGACGTGTATTGATTTGATCTGACATTCTTTCCTCACAGCTCGTCTTTCACTTCTGAACACACACGACTTCTGGACTGGTAACATTTTTTTTCCTTTCAGATAAAGTCCAAAGTTTGTTTGTTTTTTTGTTTGCACTGAGAGAAGTTTATCAAGACATCACATTTCTGACTGAGCTGCAGCAGCGGTTATCATCCCAGCACAGCTTTAGTGTGTGTGTGTGTGTGTGTGTGTGTGTGTGTGTGTATCACTGCTAAGACACACTCAGCTAGGAAGGAGTCACATGCAAGAGGAGGCAAGGCATGACGGCCGAGCTGTGAGGTCACTTCCTATAGAGAGGGGAAAAAAGGAAGAGGAGGAGCAGTGTGCATGCAGCTCTCAGGACTGCCTGTGTGTGTGTGTGTGTGTGTGTGTGTGTGTGTGTGTGTGTGTGTGTTAGACACTAAGTGAGCTGAAGCAGGCGAGTTAGTCAGATGCTCTGTTAGAGCTGCTTACCTTTTCTCAGGTAAATGTTATCTGAGAAACAAAAAAGGAAACAAATGAAACAGGTGTAAGCACGTACAAATACACACGTTTTCCTTTAACCCTGCTCTAACGTTCCAGCTGTATAAGCAACACACACAACACACACACACACACACACTCACCAAAATGTGCAACACATGATGCAAAAGCTTGAAATGAAGCTACAAAGTTCACATTTAAAAAAGCGACAGGAAGTTGCAGATCATTAGGGGGGAAACATGAGTGTGTTCATTACATGATTTAAGCTGCAGTTTGCATCATTAAACATGCAGACGCTTCAGCTGTCAATCATTATTTTAAAAAAGCAGGCGGAGATTTGAAATAGGAGCTTTTCTGAGAGGCGCAGGGTGACACTTCATTAGTAGCGGAGCTCTTTGGTGAAGAAACAAATTTCAGTGGATTTAGATTTTTGAAGAGTTTCGATTTTTGATCAACTTCACCTCTTGTTGTGTGATGGATGGAAATATAAACTTCATTAAACACTCAAAACTCAATAAAACACTAAGTAGAGTTCAAGTTAAGTTTCTCTTTTATCTAATTATGCACTGATGAAAATGTTCTTCGTTTTTGTCATTTTTTGATGTTTCGATCTGTTCAGTGGTCGCAGATTTGAAAAGCAGCTTTAAGAGAAATCTTGTGTAATAAATTTAGGAGGCTACTTTGTCGCTCTACAAATAAATCTAACTGTTTCATTAGTCGACTAAAAGGGTTTAGACAACTCTGAATATTCATGCATCAGTCTTGAGCTCGTGATGAGGAGAAGCGCCTCAGACAACTTTGAGGCTTCACTCTGGATCATTTCAGTGACGCGAAAAGAAACTTTTTATTTTGAGTTTATGGGTTTGAAGTTTTCTGTAATAACAACATGATGACAAAGATTTTTAAGAAGGATAAGCAGAAGTGACCAGTGTTTATCTTCATACCATTTTCTAATTTAGTCATAGTCTCCTGACAAAAATGTCCTTTATATTGAGTCACATATTAGTCATTTGTTATTGATTTATTTTAGTCACTTGGTAACTGACTAAAACTGCACATCATTTTAGTTGATGAAAACAGAAGATATTTTAGTCAACAAAATCAGACGCGAGCTTTTATTTTGATTATCAGAAGCTCCAGGGGGCGGGGCTTCACAGACCTGCAGGCGAGAGGCTGCACATTGTTGCACTCACCACACACACACACACACACACACACTTTGATGAAGTCTGCTGTGGTTTACAATGATTTCAGAACAGCTGAGGGGGGGACGTGATAATCCTCACTTGTAATGTAGTTTTCGTTTTGTCACATTTTCGTCCATTAGATGATGAAGTAATATTATTTATCAAATCGTCAAATATCGGAGTTTTGTCTCGTCATCGTCATAGTTGACTAATTTAAAAAGACTTGGTCAAAGAATATTTTCGTCATCTATTTTGTTGGCGAGATTAACACTGCAAGTGACAGAACACATCGTTCAAGGCAGGAAAAACTCAAATATGCTAGAGTTTATGTTTGGAGGTCGTGAGGGGCCCCACCTGTGGCCTCGATTCTCGTTTACTGTGACACTACACGGGGAGGAAATGAAACATTCAGGGGCCGACGGGTTCTGAAAGTCTACGTCTGCAGGATTCTTATAACGTAAAGTCTGACCTCGGCATTAGATTGCACACTGAATATCTAAGAGGTTATCAGAGAGACAACACAGGCAATATGAAGACATCATATAAACCAAGAAATATACATACATTTTGTGAAATCTGTTGAAGAGATGTCTTGCTTTGTTTGTCGCTTAATCCGGTTTTGTGACTTTTGCAAAGTGTCATTTCACTTCTGTCCTCGTTTATTTATTCACTATTTGACTTCTGTTCTTGAAGAGAGCCTGATTGCTCGACATTTTTTGGACCCAGTGCAGCCCTCGCTTCGACCTTTCTTCAAACTTTTTTTTTGCTTTTCCCTGACATCATTTGCACCATTTTTAAAAGCTGAAAGATAAATAATAAAGAATGTACTATAATACTTCAGTGCACATATAGCTGCTCACTCCTCAAAGAGCTTTAAATAGTGAGCGACTCAGCGTGTGAATTTAAACGTTTGACGAGCATCTCGTGGCCGCAGAAGACAAAAGAGGAAGTTGGTGAAAATGGCAGTTCTGAGAAAGATGCACAAGGCTGACGGGAGGCGAGAGAGGACACTCGCCATCCATCAGCGGTGAAGTGTCTGGGTGGGGGGTGGGGGTGTGTTAACATCTCGGTGAAAAGCTTCAGTCAAAATAACTGTGAATCAAGGACAACCTGCTCTCTCCATCACATAAATATGAACCCTTTCAGCTTTATTTTCTCTTTTTTTAAACAGTTGAAGCCCAACTCTGTTCATGTTTCTTTTGACTCTCTGTTTGCGTAAATGAGGTTAAAACACTTTTCTTATAAAAACAGCCGTGCATTCTTTTTGAATGTTGCAGCACTTTCACAGCTCTGCACACGGACTGACAAGTCGTACAGTCGAGCACGAGGAGAAAACATGTCTTCCTTTAGAGCGCACAGACTTGTAACCTTGACGACAACGATAAACTCCCTGCAACATCCTACAGTTCAGAGCCTTAAAGGTCCCATATTCTGCTTGTTCTGGTTTTATTGCTCTTTAGTGTGTTTTCCAAGTGTCCTGTGCATGTTTAGACACATCTATGTGCAAAAATTCAAAGTCTGCAGAAACGCGGCTTCTCCTACGTCCTCCTGTTAGCTGTAGCATTAGCTGCATGTAACGCTCGGTTCTAGCCCCCCTCCAAAACAATTTGTCAGTCCGACGTCATTGTCAGTGTGAGATCACTGATCTAAGCCCATTGGCTCGTTGTGGCCCTGCAGCTCATGTTGCCCGTTAACTTCTGTAGCACGCCCACGATACGCCGTAGCCTGCGGTAGCACAGTAGTGCTAAGGTGCTAATGTTTTTGCTCCCCGGCCCTCGGAGCCAAAGTGGCTGCATTCCCAATATGGTAAAAGGGGGTGTGACATTTCCGAGAACCGTGCTGAGCGACGGACCAATTACGGCAGAGCCGACAGGCCGACCAATCAGATCAGACTTGGCACACGTGGGGACTCTGAACGTGGACACTTCAGAGCCTTAGAGAGAGAGTCAGAAGAGAGCCGGTGCATGGAGCGGCAGTTCATGAAAACAGACACTTTTTTATAACTTTAGTTATTGTGAACATACTTTAGTACATAGATGAAATATATGAACCCCAAAAAGGGCAAAATATGACCTCTTTAAAGATGGAGAATAAAACCTTTGAAAAGTGTGGCTTGATTGTGAAGTTCTCTCCGTGTAAAAAGCTCTCTGGACTCTTCTACCATTTAAGTAAAAAGCTTTTATTGATCTAATGTGTGTGAGCATCAGACCGGGTTTGGGTTTCTGTGTGTGTGTGTGTGTGTGTGTGTGTGTGTGTGTGTGTGTGTGTGTGTGTGTCAGCGTGGGTCTTCCTACCTTCAGGGGGCATGAGGGTCTTGTTGTTCTGCGTGCACCAGCCCACCGGGTGCAGCTCGGCGGTCATGACATCGCACCAGAAGTCGGCCTTGCGGTCGTCCCCGTAGCCGCTGAAGCGCAGCAGCAGCAGCTGGCCGCACGTGGTGATGATGGTCGCCACCCAGTACGAGTCCGGGCTGTTTTTATTGGCCACCTCCAGCTTCATACCGGGCTGGAAGCTGCTCTGCAGGCTGATCTCCACCTGAGGAGGGGGGAAAGAAACACACAACATTAAAGGGATATTCCGCCTTTTTTTATTTAGCATGTTTAGATTTTACAACATTTTGATGAAGTCAGACGACGCTATCTGTCAGCTACTCCTGGATTCATTATTGCCAAAGTAGTGGAGGAAAGAAAGCAGTTTTTTTGGGGGATTTATTTTGGATTTAGACGGGACATGTTGGTGGTCTCAAACAGCAGACAGGCTAACTGTGAGCTAAAGCTAACATGCACTCTTTCTATTTGTTTCATATTCTTCTCACATCGTTCTTTCTGGGATCCAGAGTTTTAAACTCACACTTCAGACTTCAAGTTGATCCACTGTGACACCAAACGTCAGTGGAAACCTTCACGTATCACTGGGTTCAACTGTTTTAGACACACTCGTTGCTAACAGGTGCTAAAATCCAAAACAAGGATTAAGAGAGGGTCAAAGGTCGCTGACTCAGCGACACTGATTGGAAGAGAAGGGGGATGTTTTTTCATCTGGTCATATTAGATTCCCTGAAAGAGTCTTCTTCATGTTACAGGACACAAAGACATTTTTGTGCTTTAACTTCAGTTTGACCCGTTTTGCAGGAAGGCCCCCCCCCCGAGCATGAACACTGACCTGACCCCCCCCCCCGAGCATGAACGCTGACCTGACCCCCCCCCCGCTCAGTCTCAACACCTTTGGGTGGAATTAGATCGCCAATCTGACTAAAGCTCTTCTGGCTCGATGAGCACACATTCCCTCACACTCGCTCCAAAGTCTGCGAAGCTTTCTAAGAAGTGTGGCTGCTGCTCCTGAGCACATGGGGGGGGGGGCTTTCTACATTTTAATACCCGTGGCTTTTAGGGAAATCCTTTTGGAAAGCTTTCCAAGAACGAGATGGTGTCATGCTCGTCTGGGTTTGTAAGGTGTACTCTTCTTCAGTTCTGACCGATCTGATGGAAACCTTAATGGAGAGGGGAAACACATATTTGGTGAAGTAACCGTTGACAACAACAAGGGAGGGAACAGGACGCTTTAAATTGCTGCTTAATTCTGCAAACTTTCTAGTTTTTTTCTTAATTTAAACTCATTTCAAATTTGATGCTTGATTACAGATTTTTTAGGAATCTGTTTTTTTTAATACATTTAATATAGTCCTAAAAATGTAAAGTTTTACACTCTAAGCATTAAATTAGTGCTGAAGTCACTCAATCAGCAATAACAATTTGTTTGTTATAGTTATTTGTCGTTGTTATAAGTGATTTATAATAATGCTTTCTGACTTGAGCAAGGCCCAAAAACAAAAACCTCTGCATCTCACTTTGTCCTTGTGCGGAGAGAGAAGCGATAAATCTGCTCGTTGGTGAATGCAGCTCAGCATAATGCGTTTCCACCAATAGCCAGAGGCCGCCATACAATTCTTGAGAACACTACAAGCCCAACAGGATGTTCACATTCAACGGGCGCACAAAACGCACACACACACACTCACAAGTGAATGGAAAAAGCCAACATCTTAGAAATAAACACACAATACAAACGGCCCTGTGACTTCCTGCTACAACAATACAAACGTGCTGTATCACTCTGCTTACGCAACAGAGAGAGAGAGGGGGAGAGAAAGTTAGATAGAGGGGGGAGAGAGAGAGAGGGGGGAGAGAGGGGGGAGAGAGAGAGAGAGAGAGGGGGGGAGAGAGAGAAGGGGGGAGAGAGAGGGGAGAGAGAGAGAGAGGGGGGAGAGAGAGGGGGAGAGAAGTTAGATTGAGGGGGAGAGAGAGGGGGGAGAGAGAGAGGGAGAGAGAGAGAGAGAGGGGGAGAAAGAGAGAGAGAGAGAGAGGGGGAGAGTATGAGAGAGAGAGGGAGAGAGAGAGAGAGAGGGGGGAGGAGAGAGAGAGAGGGGGGAGAGAAAGAGAGCGCTACAGGCAAACACTGGCTCTGGCTCTGGCTCTGTGTCAGTGTGTGTGTGTGTGTGTGTGTGTGTGTGTGTGTGTGTGTGTGTGTGTGTGTGTGTGTGTGTGTGTGTGTGTGTGTGTGTGTGTGTGTGTGTGTGTGTGTGTGTGTGTGTGCAGGCCCAGGAGAAATCACTGTTTCAGCACAGAGAGGCAGAGAGAGTCGAGGGCTGCTCTTTACTGAATCACATTTTTTCTGGGGGAGTTCATCGTCTATTTCCCGGTGACTCGATCCACTTACCAACGAGGTAATTTAGCCTCCCGAGAGACGCTCCAACCACCACACACACCGTTTGTCCGACATCGACAAACACACATATTCTAATGTAGCCTCATCCCCTCTGAGCGATGTAAGAAAACTGAAAGGCCCGACACACTTCTTTAAACCCTAAACGAAACAACCTTTGAGCGAGGGAGGATAAAGACCTGAACCTCGCTCGCCCATCTGGCCCTCTGCTGTCATGTAACATGTTAACACATCGTAGGTAAAGGGACAGCGACTTCAAATATCATCCAAACAACGTGGTTAAAAGTCTGGAAACTTTGGAATGATATGCAAGAAATTATAAGTGTGTATTTTAATAAGTTTTTTTGTTTTGGATTTTGAAAATTAAAAAAAAAAAAATCATAGAATCAAGAAAGACCAAGTACTTTGAGTTTTCTGTTGTATCTTTCATCACAAGAAGAACACTGATTTACAAAAGTCTTGACATTCTTTTTTTTGTTCTGGGGTTAAAAACAGGTCAGCAGGTTACCTTTTTTTTGGTTTTTTTTGCAACGTCTCCAGAACATTTAACCAAAAACGACCGAGACATCGCCCTCGCCAAAGCCACAAGACTCCAGTGCATGTGTCTCTTCTTCTCTGGTTTTTACCTGGCTGTAAGACAAAGTTCATCTCTGATACTTCACTGAACAAATTTAGTTTAAGTTTGACTGACTTTTGGTTTTTTAAAATGTCCTGATCTTTAATCGACAGATAAAACAGTATTTTATGGGGCTGTCATGAAACGTGGATTCTTTTGTCAAAATTTGTAATATTGTTTAAGTCCAAATTGAAAATGCTGCGCCGCCTGACTTTGAATTTAAAAATGGCGGGTTGGCCCAAACAAACAGCAGTGCAGTAATAACCATGTTTTGTTTCTTCTCTCCTCCCCAGGGAATACAGATGTGAATTATCTTATAATTCAAAAACAAAAAACACGATCTCATGTTTGCCTGATGTCACTTGATGTAAAATCGTTATTTCTGTGAGATTTGTCTAAAAAATGACAAGTTGTAAAATTCCCTTCTGCTCGTTGTAAATACATCTAATCCTCTTCAGCTCCTCTGCCTTTAAAACTAATTCATCATCGTTTTGGCTCCGCAGCTGTTCTGCTGAGCTTACCATCGACATTCAGCAGCAGAAGAAACTAGCTGACTCAGCACTTTTTTTTTTTTTTTAGGAGGGAAAACACTGATCTGCTCTGACCCGGTGTGTCGTATTAAAACAGAGACATAAAGGCGACTTAAAGGGAAGAAAAACTGAAGAAAACAGATGTTTAGTTTGTCTCTCTGAGGTGTTTTCTGCTCCCCGCTGAGCCACAGCAGAGATTAAGCAGGTGTGAGGGTGACATGTTGAACGGGCCGCTCAGCCGCTGATGGCGACATGCAGGCTCAGGTGACCTCTCAGGTGACCTGCACGATGATTGTTCTGTCTGAAATAACTCAGCCGGCTGCGCTTCACTTCACTTCACTTTCAGAAACAAGTATCGGCCAATCAGAGCCGAGCACAGCCGGCCCCTGCAGAGACACAAAAAGTACCTAAACCTTTAAGGAAACATCTGAACTCTGTTTAAGGCTTTTCAACTCGGTGTGTTGGGAAATTCAAGATGTCGAAGATGATGTTTGAAGCTGAAACTCTGAGGAAAAGTGATTCATCAGAATTGAGCAGAGCGCTCAATTCTGATGAATCACTTTTCCTCAGAGTTTCAGCTTC